TTTCTCCTGTTTTGATTCCTCTTGCCGCTTGTCCTTGGCAGAGGGAACAGATTGATGACGCAGGCAGTTGAATATGTTAGAGATAAACAATTTCACTCCTGACTTGTTCAGGCAAACTCCATTTGCCTTGAAAAGATGTCTGCGATCCCAGAAAAAGTTAAAATTGTCAATAAAATGAACAGAATGGTCAGTACAGGCCGTTGAAAGCCAGGTGTTCAGTGCAAACAATCTGCTGAATCTCTCCACTCCTCTTCTGACTGGCGGTAGAGGGCCACTGATGAACACCTCTGCATTTAGAGAGCTGGCAGTTTCCAACAAACATTTAAAGTCTTCTTTCAGCACTTCTGACTGTTGTTTCACAACATCATTTGTTCCAATGTGCAGTACCACATTCTTCACAGTCGGATGTTCTGCCCCAATATGCAGGATCTTCTCAGCCAAGTCAGAGACCACATCCTTGGGAAAACAGAGTACTTTGGTGTTGTTCTTATTACACAGACCTTTTACATCTCTTACAGCAGAGTCACCCACAATCAGAGTTTCAGGCCCAGTCGTTAGCTTTCCCTCTAGCCTTTTACTTTTAGAGTAGCTATTGGTCCTTACCCTGCTGCGTGAAGAGGACAGGTTATCCAGGTCATCAGATCTCCGGTTCTCGGTCAGCGGAGCGTATCTGTTCTGGATTGGCACACTTGGTGGTTTAGGAGGATTGTTTGTAATTCTCCCTTTAGCAGCTGTCCACTGCTGTTTCCTAGTATGAATAGGGGTTGAAGAGGCGCTCTTCCTGGGTGATAACAATGCAGGCCAGCCGGTCGCATCACAGATTTCGGAGCTCTGGGCTCTGCCTGTTATCCGTCCTCCCAAATCCCATGGAAATGATTTACTCTTAGGCTTTGCACCCAGAGAGTTCCAGGGAGGACTACCACTTGTAGATTTATTACCCGGTACACAGCCCTCCTGTTCCTTGGAATCCTTGTAGCTGCTAACTAGCTGTGAGTTAGCATACCCTTCTCCATTACTTTGCAACACTGGTAAAGTCGTGTCATTCCCACGACATAGTCCATTCACTTCCACGTTAACTTCCAACCGTTGCATTTTCATTTCCAACACAGCCATCTTCTGTATAAGTTTCTGGAAGTCATCTGTAGAGAACGGAGGCATTTTGCTACCAACTAGCTTAAGCTAAATAGCATGCAGTAGCCTACCAGGCTTTAGCTGTTGCTAGGCCACGCTATTGTAAGACTGACGTCGTCGTAAAAATGTTGAAATATGGCTGAAACCCTCCGTCTATTTACGAAGATGAACTGTCCCAGTGATAAGTTAATGTCCAGGAGCCGCTGCTCGAAGTTTTCAGAGAATAAGAATAGGAAAATCAGCATAAAAAGTAAGCAGAGGCAAGAGCAAGCAGAAAAGCGTCTGCACTGTAAGAAAGATAAGCAAGCCGTAGACAGACTCCGCCGTAGACAGACTCCGCGAGGCTGACACTCCCGCGAGCAAGCAAGAGGGCTGTCTCTCTCGCGAGCGAGCGCAGAGCCGCTCGCGGGGGTTTAATCTGCGCGCGAGGGTCATTTTATGGGCGTGTAAAAGCACATTTTCCGCTCGTGAGTAGCTTGTTTTACGCGCGAGAATATTGACCCAAATCTGACTCCATATTCTTACACCTTTTCCAAAGTCAAATTCAAGCACTTTTCAAGCATTTTCAAGGTGCATTTTCAAGCTTTTCAAGTATCTTACAGCTGTTGTAAATTACATATTTATATGCACATACTCAAATGATTATTTCCCTGCCTCACATTAACTCAGATGTTCTTTATGCTATAAACAACCAAATGTGTGTTTCGTGATAGCATTCTACACGAGGATGAAAAATTAAAAGAAAACTAAGTTTAATATTTCAAAATGAGTGATCTGTACGTCTATAAACCGAATTCAGGCGACCTTTCACCTCCACTTAATTAAATGCACTGGTTGCAAGATAAACATGTGAGTTAATTGATTTAGATAAACATTTTAAGTTGCAAACATTAATTTATAAGTTGTGCTGACGTAATAATGTTCAACTTAATATTGTGTGTCATTTGAACTCTGATTTCTGCGTTAATTGACTTCAAACTAAATTCAAGTTGAAGTAAGTAATGCAATTGGCTTGATAACTTATTGTTCTACACCTTGAGTTAAGGATTTCAAGTCCACTCCCACTTAACAGGCCTGGACAAGTTCAGACAGTTAAGACAAACTAACTTAATTTATAAATGGCTGTCAACTTAAAAACATGTGTTCATGTTCAACATGTGGTAATTAAGTACATACAACTTAAGATTACATTTAAATCCTACGGTAAAACAAGTTGGAACGTTTGGAGTAATCAACTTAAAACTTGTGTTTATGCTACCAATGATTAAGTAAGTGGTAATTGAAAACACCTGATTGTAGAGGAAACGCCTTCTCCCCTAACTCAAATAACTTTGTTGCTTTAACAACATTTCATTAGAAGTTGTTTTAACTCAATAACCATCGATGCAACCTATTGCCTTGATTCTCTTTGTTAAGGCGAGACACCGCAGGTCAGGGGTAGCCAACACGGTGCCCGCGGGCACTCAGTCGCCCGCGGGCATGTTCTAAAACACACACACACACACACACACACACACACACACACACACAAACAATTATTCCCCCTATTACCTGTTTCATGATTTCAGAGCCCCACTCTCCATTGTTGTTAATGTTGAAAATAAAACTCTAGTTTCATAACCACTGTCTTTTAACTGATTTAAACTGGGGTTATTCATCAGGATTTCGTAGGACTTGACTTGCTTGACTCTCACCCCAGTAACTTGAGACTTGCACATGTATGACTTACTCCCACCTCTGGTATACAGGAGACAGAGGGAGACGGCATCCTGTCACTGCGAGTCTCAGTATGCTCCGTTCCTCTTGTGTTTTGTGTTTTTGTCTAAACTTTGTTGTGTCTGTATGAAACGTCATTTTGAGAGACCATGCTTTTGATCCTGTGGATTACATTTGCCTTCTGCAGACCATGTCTGGCCATTCAACTTTCCAAGACACACCTGAGTGACAGCACGAACAGGTATGGTGAGGAGCCCCGGCCTCTAAGCTGCTACAGACGCGAGGCAATGCTAGAGCTACAATGCGATCGGCCTCCTACGAATACACCAAGTCATCTGTGCTCTTCGTTATTGGATGAAATCCCTCGGGAGCCGCTTAGAAACACCAGGAAAAAGAGACGAGGAAGGAGGGGAGGCGTTCAGAATACGGCGGAGATTCAGCCGGCCACCACTTCCATCCATCATTCTCACAAACCTGCGCTCATTGAGCAACAACGTGGACACACTAAGGACATACACAAGTAGATTGGAGCCAACTTTCCGTGAAACATAATAAAGAGGCCTCGAGAAATTCATGACAGTACCTTGTGTATGTCCTGAGTGTGTCCACGTTGTTGCTCAATGAGCGCAGGTTTGTGAGAATGATGGATGGAAGTGGTGGCCGGCTGAATCTCCGCCGTATTCTGAACGCCTCCCCTCCTTCCTCGTCTCTTTTTCCTGGTGTTTCTAAGCGGCTCCCGAGGGATTTCATCCAATAACGAAGAGCACAGATGGCTTGGTGTATTCGTAGGAGGCCGATCGCATTGTAGCTCTAGCATTGCCTCGCGTCTGTAGAGGCCAGGGCTCCTCGCCATACCTGTTCGTGCTGTCACTCAGGTGGGTCTTGGAAAGTTGAATGGCCAGACATGGTCTGCAGAAGGCAAATGTAATCCACAGGATCAAAAGCATGGTCTCTCAAAAATGACGAGCATACTGAGACTCGCAGTGACAGGATGCCGTCTACCTCTGTCTCCTGTATACCAGAGGTGGGAGTAAGTCATACATGTGCAAGTCTCAAGTTACTGGGGTGAGAGTCAAGCAAGTCAAGTCCTACGAAATCCTGATGAATAACCCCAGTTTAAATCAGTTAAAAGACAGTGGTTATGAAACTAGAGTTTTATTTTCAACATTAACAACAATGGAGAGTGGGGCTCTGAAATCATAAAACAGGTAATAGGGGGTGTGTGTGTGTGTGTGTGTGGCAGCCTGCGGTCGCTCGTTAGCTGTTCTAATGAAGGTAAACACAGTGAAGGCACAGCTCTTTGCAGCTGGTGCTGCTCTTCTCAGATTCTGCTGAGTTACACGTTACTGCCTCCTGGTGCTGCAGAGATTTCATGAAGTGAAGGAGGTTGTCTTCTATAAAGCAGCAGATACTGTGAGTCACAGACATGAATACATAGGTCAAGGCTGATTGGTTCACAGACTCTCCTGTTTTGCCGATCCGGTGCTTGAACAAATAACTCTACACCCCTGGCCGAAATGTCCCTAAAATGAAGTCCGAGTTTGAAATCTATCTCAAATAATGTATGTATTTCCCCACATAAACATAACAGTCTGCAATGAAACGGCTGTCTCCTGTGCGCTCCACTTCCTACTTTCTCCTGCGAACGAGAAGAGACTTTCTCTCTCTTTTTTTTCTTTCATTGCCCTCTAGGTGCTTCGTACAATACAAATGCAAATATTCTATTTTAAAAAGTAAAGTCCTTTCGAGTCATCTGTCTCAAGCCTAAGTCTCAAGTCATGAATACCAAGTCAAAGTCAAGTCAAGTCTTTTATCAATGTTAGTCAAGCAAGTCTCAAGTCAAAAAATAGGCAAGTCAAGTGACTCGAGTCAAGTCATGTGACTCGAGTCCCCCACCTCTGGTATATACTTTGGTTAGAATATTGCTGTATTACTGTATCAAATATAATAAACACAAACAGATGTTAAGTAGTATTTTGTTAACTCAAGGTTTATATTAAGTGAGTTTTTATTGTGTTAACTTGTGTATTTATGCTTTTTAGATTGACTTTCTCTCTTTCTCTGTCCGTCTGTTCTAGAAACCGAAAGGAAGAGAGAGACGTCACAGCTGTCAGCAATGTGACAAATCCTTCACAACATCTGGAACTTTAAAGCGCCACCTGCGTATTCACACAGGACAAAAACCGTACAGCTGTGAAGAGTGTGGGACAACTTTCACTCAATCAGGTCATCTCAAAACACATCAACGTATTCATACTGGAGAAAAACCTTACAGCTGTGAAGAGTGTGGGACAACTTTCACTAGATCAGGTGATCTAAAAATACATCAACGTATTCACACTGGAGAAAACCTTACAGCTGGAAGAGTGTGGGACAACTAAAACCTTACAGCTGTGAAGAGTGTGGGACAACTTTCACTACATCAGGTTCTCTAGAATCACATCACCGTATTCACACTGGAGAAAAACCTTACTGGTGTGAAGAGTGTGGGAAAACGTTCACTACATCAAGTGCTCTCAAAAGACATCTTCGTGTTCACTCAGGAGAAAAACCATAGTGGTTCTAAGAGTGTAGGAGCCGCAATTAAGCATATTTTGTTTTTTTCACAGTTTACAATAAACAATTCCCATCTATTGGCCTTGTGTTGGGTAATCCCTTTTTCCATTACAGATCCCATCCCAACAGCGCCATCTGTTGACGTAACGTCAGAATTGACAGGCATAATGTTAACTGTTCCTTTAAAGTGGACCTATCATGCTATATTTGAATAATATAGTGTAGGACCAAACCTATATAAGGCATATTTATACTTTTTATTTTTAAAAATACCAAACAGATCATGCATTTTAGCCATTCCTCATTTCGCTCAATTTAACACTGTCTTTGCATGGGCTGATTCTGTGAGAACAGCGCCATCTGTTGACGTAACGTCAGAATTGACAGGCCTAATGTTCACTGTTTCGTTTTCTGTCCGTCTGCCGATAGCGCGCTGTTTCATTGCTTTACATACCAAGGTTTAAGTACACTGTGTCAATAGTTGTAGTATGAGCATCGTCTGGGCTGGCCGTCTGGTAGAATCGGTATGCTCTTCCTCCTGTGTCCACTTCCTCTCCTGTCACCTATGACCCCTTTTAAACACCCCACCACCAAGTGTTCAAAATAACATTCAGGGTGTCCGCGGGGTCTTAAAAAGTATTCAAAGTTGATAATCAATTTAGCGAAAATTAAGGCTATTAAAAAGTATTAGACGGCATTTTCCAAGGTATTAAGAAGGTCCACAGCAACGACAACAAGAAACACCCTTTAATTTACTGAAACAACATGTCGGGAAACCCCCTCAAGGTGGCCCCATGCATAGCGTGCCATAAAATGCTGCTTCTTATTTTAAGTTTCGTTGCCTTGCTCCGCTCGGTGGGGGGGGGTATACCCAGGGGCGGATCTACCGGGGTGGCATGGGGTGGCAGCTGCCACCCTAAAACACATCCTTGCCACCCCAGCTGCCACCCCAGTTGGCAGCTTTGTTTTGAAATAAAAGTTGTGGCTCATCGGACATTTATGAGAAAAAATCTCTAATGTCCGATTGCAAGTGTATGCACCACAAGACGCAAGCCAGTTACCCCCTCCCTGGCGCGAGCTGAAATGTGATTGGCGGCGATTTCATTTTGAACGGGACAGAACAAATAGAGAAGCATTCGGTGAAGTAGACGGAAGGAATGAGGTAAGACTGATCAACTACGTCTCCTGTGAAATAAGTGTAGAACAAAGCTAATGTTTTCCAGTTACAGAAAAGAGAGAAGTTAGATATGTCCATGTGAATCATAACGTTAATGCTGATATTGAAACGATACAAATCCGGTTGAGTAACGTTATTATCAGTAACTCTTTACTTACCGTAATAATAATAATAAATGATATTTATATAGCGCCTTTCAAGGGACCCAAGGTCGCTATACAGTGTGCGTGGAACGTTAGCTAGGTTTTTGTTTAAAAAAATGTCATGCATGAAATATTTTTATATTATCAATCATTTAGCAAGATGTACGACCTGATCAAGGCTAAACGATTCTGCTCTTCAATAATAACTTTGAATCTTATTTCAGGAATCTGTTTGGATTGCAAGCAAAGATTTGGCCACAAGCTGGAGTTTGAAGCACACAGTAAGTGGGAAAACAACAAGCATTTGCTCAAACAGCATTTTCATTTGAACACCATTATTAATAATGATTACTGGTAATATAAAAGAAAACAACGTAATAAATGGACTTTGAATCTTATAGAAATGAAGAGGAAATGTGGCATTGCAAGTTTTTTCTCACCAAAGAGGATAGAAAGTGAGGCTGAGCAACAGGGAAGTGACAAGATAAATGACCAGGGACATGAGGAGGTGGAAGGAGATGAAGAACAGCAACAGGAAAGTGTCAGTGATGAGATAGAAGGCAAAGATGAACAGGGACAGGAGGAGGAAGGAGAACACAACAGAGAAGAAGAGACGGAAGAGGGAGAGCATCACATAGACAAGGTGCAAGAGGGAGAGAGCGAGAGACAACAAGACGGCATGCAGAGCTCAGACAGTGAGGGGGAAAGGAATATTCCTAAGCCCTTGCAACCAACGGCCAGTCGAGTTGGTCCACATGGTATGAAAATTGTTAATACAAAGTATAATGCATCTGAATAAGATGCAAAAATCACACAAAAGGACATTTTGCAAAACAGTTTATTTAAGAGACAGGGCTAGCCTCAGTCTAATAAATATATTATTAATTCAAAAAAATTATGTTTGCTTTCCTTAGATAGTTTTGAGTATGAGGAAAAGGGTAGATTGTGAGTATTTTGTGTACAATGTATTTTAGACCTATTATAGCAGCTGAGGTTGAAATTCAAAAATTACCCAAAACAATACACACACCCAGGCCAAAATGTTGTGCTGCACGCATTAACACAGCCAGTAGGTTAAACACATATTGAATAAATGACAGCTCCAAACTGTGTTATAATTAGTTAATTATAATGTGTAATCAGTTAAGCTCTATTACAGTTTGAATATGTTTTACTCCCATTTTCTAGACATATCCAAGTCCAGGTGTGAGGAGCCAGCTCAGCCGACACGGGAGAGTTTCCCCAAGACCCTTCAGGGAGGAGCCAGAAGAAGCTTCAGAACGGACTGGTACAAAACTCATTCATGGCTTGAGTACTCACAGTCCAATGATTCAGCGTATTGTTTCCCCTGTAGACATTTCTCTTTACCTGATGCCCCCAAGACCGTTTTCACCTCAATTGACGGGTATCGTAACTGGAAAAAGGCCACAATGAAAGACAGTGGTTTCTGTTCTCATGCCCGATCTGAAAGCCATGTAAATGCAATATTTGCACGGGGAGAAAACAAGAAAATTAGTGACAGAAATACCTCAATGATGGGAATAATGGATGAGTAAAATAAGAAACAGGTGATTGAAAATCAAAACTACATTAAAACACTAGCTGAGATTCTGATTCTAACTGCCACAGAAAACACAGCCCAGCGGGGTCACAGGGAGAATCCTGACTCAAAAAAAAAAGGTGTTTTTTTAGCTATGTTAGATTTGCTGGGAAACCATGATCCTATGACTAAAAAAAGACTTGAAAAGCAAGCTAAAAATGCAACATACACCAGTAAAACTATTCAAAACGAGATACTGGAATGTTTGGCTGCAATGGTTAAGGAAGAAATAATTCAAGAGGTTAAAAAGAGCAGGCGGGTGATTCTCACGAAACCACCTTTGGTCATGTCTGTGAGGAATTGACAGACAAAATTACAAAAATAATCAAAATAATCAATTCTATATCAAACTGCATTGTGTATTGTATGTGGTACTATTGCTATTTTTGTAGTTGAGGTAGTAATTCATATTTTTTTCACCATTTTTCCATGTAGAAATTCATTACCGTAATGCGTCCGGAGTTTATTTTTTTACATTTAACCCCAAAATATCACAATAAATCTGCACAATTTAATACATACATAAATACAAAAATTGTTGAAATGGTACATTCTTACTGGTAATATAATTATTTTGGGTCTAAGATTTATGAATTAAAATATTTTTGGATTAATATGTGTGTCCGGAGCATGTGAAGTTCATTACCGATACACTGCCTATTTGGCCCCATTACAATTCCTGTTTGTTTAAATTAGTTTTTTTTTTACCCATGATGCATTGCATGGAAGAGAAGATGCAAGATAGCTACAAGGTAAGATGTCCTTTCAAGGTCAAGCTATAGATATGTTAAAGATTCAATTTACTGACACCCCAGTGTACACTACTAACTGTCATTACCGTAATGGGGTATTATATAATGTTTTTTTTAAAGTTATTGATTCCAAAATCAATAGAAAAGTTGCTTTTATAGAGCCAGAATGATAGTGCAAATATTTCTTTTGTAGCATCATGGCTATGCTAACTATTATGCTAGCTAGTGTTATGGTCATTCATTACCGTAATGCTCTGCATTCATTACCATGTCATATAGGAGGCTGTTACGGTAATGAACAAAATTGTTGCGGTAATGAAAGAAATGTGTGCAGCTATGTATGGTGAGCTTTAACTATAAAGAAATAATTTATATATATTATTTGAATCTAATTTATTTAATGAATACTGAATCCCTCTTGAAATTAAGTTCAGAAAAGGTGGAAAGGAAAAGGGCAGCTTCCAAGGTGAGGGTGGTGAAGCACAGAGAGAAAGTGTACAGCAACCCAGATACATAAGGAAGGAAAGAGAGAGGTTAGAACAGGACATCTTCACATTGTGTGTGAGAGAGAGAGTGAGTGAGAAAGAGGGAGAGACAGAGAAAGAGAGAGACTGAGAAAGAGAGAGACAGAGAGAGAGAGACTGAGCCAGTGTTTCCACCAGGGGGCCGTCTTGCCGTCATTGGATGCCCTTTTTCAGCTCGGAAGCGCCCTCAACTCGAGCCGAGGCGGCCCAAAAAAGAGATTTATCCGAGAGAAGATCGACAATTTTTATCGTTTAAATCAGGGGTTCCCAAAGTGTGAGGCGCGCCTCCCCTGGGGGGCTCCAGAGAGCTTCAAGGGAGACGCAGCCGCCAGAAAAAAATAAAGAGAAACAGTGAAATCTAGCTAGTTAACTTCAGCTAACTTTATGCGAGCTGCAAAATATCTATCATCTAGCCTCCCACCCCATCCAGAGCCTACGCCATCTGACAATGTCACTTCTACACCCGTAAGCCACAAAGAGAAACCGGTCAGCCACAACAAAAGGAAGTTTGTCGGAACCTGGAAAATGAAGTTCCCGTGGTTGTGCTATAATAAACAAAGTCATAAAATGTATTGCACACTATGTGTAAGGGAAAAAAAGCACAACGTGTTCACCTCGGGGACGTCCAACTTCAGGGTGAAGACTATAGAGATGCACATAAAGGGGGTGGATCACAAAGCAGTGCTAGATGCACAGCATTTACGGAGAAACAACATTCAAGTTGCCGTTAATCGAATGGTCTGTGCCAGATCAAAGGCGGTAATTGCGGCCAAGAGGAACGTGTATTACCTGGCAAAAGAACTGTTGCTGACTCACAAAAACAAAAGCTTGAATGAACTGTGCATTCTGCAGGGATGTGAAACCTTGGCAGAACTGCGCGTTTCAGAGAACGCCCTCACAACGACATAGTGCAGGACATGCAGTGCGCCGTAATGTGCTGAAGGAGGATTTCATTGCAAAGTTAAATAACTCAACATTCAAGGGGCTCATGACTGACGAGTCCACGGACATTTCGGTGGAAAAGCTTCTTTGCACATATGTTAACCTAATAAATGACGGTGACTTAGAAACCCACTACTTGTGCAACACAAAGATACTGCATGCGACGCTGCTACCAGTAACGCAAACCATTAAGGAGCAGTTGCAAAATTACAACATCGACCTGAACGACATAACTGGCGTCCGTACAGATGGGGCAGCGGTTATGACTGGAAGAGAAAATGGGTTCGGGGCGCGTTTTAAAAAGGGAAAACCCAGCCATCGGTGGCACACACTGCGCTGCACATAAGCTAAACTTCCGTGCCCAGCAGGCTGCTGTGGCGATTCCATCCCTCCAGCGCTACCAGAGGACGGTGGGCAGGATCTATGGATACTTCTCCAACAGCAGCTCTCGGCAAGCACGGCTTAAAGAAATGCATGTCATCCTGGACACTGATGACGTTCAGCCTGCTGTAACCTCAACGATCAATGCGCTGTGAGTCATGCAGATTGGAGATGAAGGCGGCCTAAAATTCCAAGAATTCTTGGCCAACATTGTGGAGAAAAACGGCGAGATGTATTTTAAGGGAGAAAAGATAAAGGCCACCAGGGCGATGCGGCAGGCCGTGGATGGTGTAAGGCAGCGCTTCCTCGACACCCTCATCCAGAATATTGAAGATCGTTTCCCCGACATCGGCCTCTTTTCCGCTTTTCGCATATTTGACCCATGGTGTCTGCCACGGGACAACACTGAACGTGCGCGATTTGGACGCGATGAGATGTAGACCATCCTGGATCACTTGTGCCCAGCGGGACGGGAACCTATCGTTGACACGGACACCTGCAGCGCAGAGTGGTCACCTTTTAAGGAGCTGGTCCATGCAAACTACAGCAACAATTCCTTCCAGGAGTTGGTGAAGATCATGGCTACACAACATGCTGGCTTCCTACCTGAAACCACAAAGCTCCTGGCTGCAATCTCGGTCATTCCAATGAGCACGGTGCGGTGCGGACGTGGATTCAGCATTCAAAATCGCATAAAGACCAAGGGCAGGGCAAGAATAAAAGCAGAAAATCTCGACTGAATCTGCATTGAAGGACCACCCATTGAACAGTTTGACTTCTACAGAGCCCTGGAAAAGTTTAGAGTGGAAAAACACTGCCGCATTTTCCAAGGACCATGCAAGGAGCGATGTCCCTGCCGGCAGCGGTGATTGTATACAGGTACATTATGTATCATGTAACAAACGTTACGTTACTATTGTCTATTGTGTGTGTAAAGAGACAGTATATAAAAGTAACGGTGCAATTCAAAATTGTGTGTGTGTGAATATATACGTACAGCGAAAGTATTTATAAAGCAATAGTATATCTCTTCTCCATGTAAGGTCATTACCATAACAAAAGCTTTTCATTACCGGCATGCTCTGTTCATTACCATAACACTTCCTTAATAAGTTAATATTTTGATAGGAATATGGAAAACCTTCAAATTTTCATTTTGTACAGGAAATGTTTGGTATGTCTGTTCATATTTTAAAAGTCTTTTTTCAATCAATTGTACAATTTACACCACAGTAAAAGTCAATGTGTGGAACATAAAATTGTGTTACGGTAATGAAGTTAATAACTAAAATTATTATATTATTATATATTTACCTGAATTATTACACTATGTGACTACTTGTGACTATTGACAGCAGCATACGTTAAAAAATAAAATGCCAAACATTTACTCAAATATTTAGTTATCATCAATTGAAAATGTGTTACGGTAATGAATTTATTTGGTCAATGACTCGTTAAAACTCTCTAAAAATGTGTTTTAAAACATATACAGAACTTTTCTTTTACTAGGGCTAGTTCATTTAGAACCTGGTTGATACTAATGAGAACAATTATTTTCAAAATCTGCATCGAACTGTTTTGGCTCATGTTACACCAAGTTCGTGAGAATCACCCAGCCTGCAGTTTGCAGTTATTGTAGTCGAAACTAAAGATCTTCAGAAAAAAGAGCAAATTTCATTTGTTCTGAGATACTATTACAATGGTGTTGTTCACGAGAGCTTTCTGGAGTTTGACGTGGTAGAAGGCCTGGATGCTGCTGCGTTAAGTGGTAAGATGATTTGTTTTCTTGAGAAACATGGGCTGGAGTATAAAGAAAACCTTGACGGTCAGGGCTACGATGGCGCTGCAGTGATGAGCGGGGCACATGCTGGTGTTCAAGCGAAAATAAAAGAAGTAGCCAAAAATGCTTTCTATGTGCATTGCAGTGCACACTGCCTAAACTTAGTCATAGTAGACTCTGTCAAAAGTGTAACAGATGCGGGAAACTTCTTCTCATTGATGGAACGATTGTATGTGTTCATATCTGGGTCTTATGTACACAACAAATGGCTGGAAGTGCAGCGGGAGATGTTTGACGGTGCACCAAGGGAACTCCAAAGGCTTAGTGATACACGTTGGGCCTGCAGACATGTAGCATGTCGCAATGTTATGGATAGGTTACCTGCAATACTACAGCTGCTTGAAGAGATTTCCTCTGAGAACCATCCACATAGAGCTGTTGAAGCCAGGGGGATATTGGTTCAGATTGATCTGAATTTTGTTGGATGCCTTGTACTGTTCCGAAAGGTCTTGAGTGACTCTAAATTGTTGTCAGATATGCTCCAGTCCAAAACATTGGACTTGGCTAAGGCCGTGGAACTAGTTGAAGCACTTAAAGAGACACTGGTACAATATCGCAGTGAAGCCTCCTTTGATGAAGTGTGGAGTGAAGCACTTGTTTTATGTGAAAGAAGTAGCATTGAAACAACTCAGCGAAAGCCAAAGAGTTCAAGACAGACAACAAGGACCCTTCAAGATGGTGTCATCCCTTCCACTTTGGGACAGCATGTAGTTCCAGATGGCAAACACTCTTTTTGCGTCAATGTGTACTATCCAGTTATGGATAACATGATTGGAGAAATAGAAAGACGCTTTTCTCACACAAATTGCAACATAATGCAAG